AGTTAATAATGTTATATTACTTAATTAATTTATTATTTGTTGCAACATAATAGAATAATTATGGTTACCATCTTTAGGGAGGATATAACAAACATCAAGCAATTTACTCCTGGTATGTGATTATTCTCTTAATTTTCTGGATTGGAGTATTACATATATTAACTTATTTTTCTCTGCCTTCAGTCTTCGAGAAAATCAATGATGATGATAAGGTATTCAAACACTGTATGGAAGACATTATATTAAAACTTTCAAATGTGAAAATCATGACTGACGCTAACGAGATGACATGTGAATTTATTTCATCGATTCTTCATGCATCCATCGCTATAGCTAAAAAACTTACCTTTCAAGATATATTTATAGTTTTATAGAAAGATATATCTGGTGAGAATGCAACAGACAGAGTAGACTACGCAATCAAAAGCCTAGAAGTCTTCTTATATATCACTAAAGGAAAGTCTCGTAATATTAAAATTGGATATGTGCAGGTAAATTTATTATCTGTTCATGCTTTATAGAAGATTCAATAGTGTTAATAGCATTTTATTTTTTTTTCAGAATCTGGCGCAACTTGAAAGTGCATTCCAGACCAATAAAAAGAAATGAACTTTAGATCAAGCATTTGGGAATGACTATTTCGACTATATCTATGGTATTGTGACCACAAGTACAGAGTGACATTTTATCATATATACTCCTGATGGTATATACTCTACAAATGGAAGCGAATACCAAATTAATCTCACGAAGTTTGCAGTTAAAGATAATCCTGAATTACTTCAAAGCAACGTAAAAAGAGTAATAGGTATTATTGTTAGGTTGTTAAAAGATCAGATTAGTGTAGATAGTTCTCCGTCTAGCAAGAGGGCTAGAATCAAAAATATTAGCAAAAAATAATATGTATCCTGGGCTACGTCCTGAATATTTGTATTTATTTTTGCATGTATTAATAAAATTTTTTCTTGGCATTTTTTTGAGACTACACGGTCCTGGAAATCTGGTGACTTTATAACCTATTTCTCTTGGTAAAATGTCACAGTCTCTATGTATATTTATATATACTAACTAACTTTTGAATATTTCACTTCTTGTATAAAATTTATCAATCATGTCATCTGAGCTTAAATTATCAAAACAGCGTATTACTAAACTTGAAGCTGAGAATTCCGATCTTAGAATCAAGCTCTTAGTGTCTAATACTAAAATAGCTGAACTTAAGCGCAGAAATATTGAGTTTCTAAGAGCGAATAAGGAATATAATGAGAGGCGTGATGCTAAAATTGCCAAACTCAGGGCTGAGAATGTTAAGTTTAGAGATAGACTCATGAAAGTGGAACAGAAGCAGACTCTGCAAAGCGCCTTAACGGCAAATGATAATTCTTCTAACAACAGTTCATCTAACTTCAATTTGGTTGCAGATCAGGTGTCTATGGTAACACATCATAAGAAACTATTAGTAGATACTTCATTATCTAAAGAACAGATACTAGAATGGTTACCAGAGCTATCTGTATCAGATGTTAACATACCTGTTATAGACAAATGTGATCAGACAACCTTGAAAGATAAGGAAACAGATGTTTTCTTGAATGCGGTATACAAGAAAAAGGTTAGTAATGAGATTAGGTAGAGAAACGGGAAAAAGAAATTATTGCGTGAATCATCTACCAAAGACTTATCTGGAGATGTGTTCACTAAAGTAAACTCCGCCTCTTCTGTAGACAAAGAATCTCTATCACATAAGAAGAAAAAAGTGGAAAATATCGTGCAGGATGTATTTGATTTTACCATAGATAGGTCTGAGAAAAAACAGCCAGAAGGCACTTCGTACTTAATAGAAATTTCGCTGATAGGCTGTGAGAAAAATAATTGCTTAGTAGAGTTATCAAGTTCAGACGTATTGCAAAATATAAACCGCTTATATGAGAATGCATGTACTGCAGAAAATGAAAGGGTAAAGGCTAATCAGGCAGAAATTTTGTGCTGGAGAAATTTTATTATAGGACTGGATAATAGTATAGATGAAATCATGATCAAAGAAAAGGTAGAAATGAAAAAGGCCAAAGGACTGATTTATGATTTTATTCTTGCATACAATTCTAACACCAAACAAAAGACTTTATATCAGCGCATTAGTAGAGTTAGGAAGGTTTATGAGTTTACCGAAAAAATAGGAATTGATAAAATCAAGTATATTAAAACATATAGTGCGAATTCTATTGCAGAACTATCTGACAGTCAGATTCAAACTATTATTGATTATTTCTTTGAGAATCCCAATACTAAATTACCTGATGATCAAGAAGGCTCTATTATCGATTCTGAAGAGGAGATTTCAGGTGACCAGACTGATACATCAGAGGTGATTTCAGCTGATGTAAGCATTCCAATATCACCTATTCCATTAGCCTATATCTTTGCGAAGCGCCTTAACAGCAATTCTTTTGATGATTCTAAAGAAGTCAGCCTAAGCAATTTGCTCGAAAATGTGGATGATTACTACAAAATGATCTTGGATGATTGTGCGAAGGATTGTGAGTAATTTGATAAGGAAATAGATTCCACGTCACAGCCGGTGAAAGAAATGAATGAAGAAGTTGCTTTGCAATCAGAGAAAGAATCGAACGAAGTAAGTCAAACAATAAAACGATTCTAGTGATTTTGAAGAAGAGATGCCAGACGATTAAGACAATGATGATGAATATGGTGGATACAGTAGATATAATGAATATGAATGTGATAGAGGTTATTATTATCGTGATGGAAGATATGAAGGAAACCTCTTCAATGATGAGTCTTATTATCTCTCTAGTAATTGCCTAAGAGAATTATTGGATGAATTACATACTCGTATAGACTGAATTATTATTTCTTTTTTTTGAATCACGTGGGTGGCTTAGATAGCATGCAAACATCATCTATATTTTCTTTTAGCGCCTCGCAGTAAGACGTTACTGCCTCACTGATTCATGTGAATTATATCTGCAGAATATACTATGCGTAATAGTACATTATCAGCATCTGCAGTCGTCATTTTTACCTCTAATAATTTAATCACAAAAGTGTTTTAGAGCCAAGAGAAATATTTTGTGTTGCTATACTGATGAACTTTTCCCAGAGTTCTGGTATGTTCTATCTCATTCATTACATAGTTTTGAATTACTAATAAAAAAATCACATCCCTGATTTACATTTTGCGGATCGTAAGATAGGGTGTTAATAAAAAGAAATTCAAAAATGAAAATAGAGCTGATTAGAATCTATGATTTACAGATCCTCAGATAAATGGTAACTTTTTATTATTCTACTGATATTTAGCGCATTCAAATTACGTGTATGGTTAATAGCACGTTAATCTATTTTTGAATAGAAATTAGTGGATATATGTGCGATTCGTCATCTACAGATCTCGATCCAATCCATTTTATATTCCTTTTTGTAATTACAATTGAAATAGGGGTTGAACTCAAACAAAGATGCATCACATACGATCTTTTGTTTTGCAAGAGATCTTAGAAAGAAATAGAAAATTTGAGACACAGCATTGCTCCATTAGTTTATATTAAGTTGACATAAAAACGTAATTTGTCAGATTTTATTTTAAACACTATTGTTAAATGCGTCTCAAATTTAGGGAGAAAAATTTGTTATTATTAGACGGGATCCAGACCGTTATAATTATGAAAAATGTAGTTATGACAAATATACATAATAAAGCAACGTAACTTTATTAAATTAGGTTAAATTATCTTTTCACGCGTAGTAAGCATACAATATAAAATAAACCTTTTTTCCAGCGCATTTATGCAAGAGAATTGTGTATTATAAAAAGATCAATCGTTACTATCTAAAAAACAGATTTGATCCACCAATAAACTCTTAATAAAATTACTATGCATCACTCTATCTACATCATGACCAGTTTCACATTATTCAATTCTTCAGGAAGTATACCATTTTTGGCCTTATCTGCTATTTTTTCATTTGTTATTTTAGCGATATTTATGGGATCGTTACCATGTGGATGATTCTCAAACAAAAAATCTCCGATAAACTCTCTGCTCGTGATATAAAAATCAATACGTCTATTACTGCGAAGATCACTAAAATTAAGAATGAAATTAACACTAAAATCGTGAATGATCTCTCCTCACATGATGGAAGTATTACTGCGGAAATCGAAAGAATATCTACAAAAAACTTGGCGCAGAAGTTAACACTAAAATCGCCAACGAACTTTCCGCACGTCTTTCTGAAGTCAATTCTACTTTCACTGCAGAGCTTGTGAGAAACAACAATGAACTTAATAAGAAACTTATCGGAGAAATCGCTAAAATCAATTCTCATGATGCTGGCTACGCCTCTGAGGCCCAGAAAATTTTTTCAATGGTCAATAACATAACTACGAAAGTTAATAATATTGAAGAAGCCTGCCATAATGAATTTAGCAGAATTAATGTTGTTATTGAAGATCTCCAAAACAAAATAAATCAACATTACGCAGTAATTCAAAGATCCGATTTTGATCAACAAAGTGTGTCCAATGAATCTGAAGCTAATTCGACCAATGAATCTGAAACTAATTTGCAAGACTCTTCAACTAATTTGTCTCCAAGCTCTTCTTCTGAAAGTTCCAATTTATCTAGAATTTTAGATATTACTGGAGACATTAGAATCCGCTTTAAAGAACACTTCAATCGGCTTATGGAGGTGAGGAAATTTACTTTTGATGAGATGTGCTTTTCAGTAGTAGTTAATATTCGTAGTCTTAGAGGAAATATTAAGATTTCAACAGTGAAAAAATTTTAATTTTTATAATGGTGTTAGTGGCAGTAAAATTAGCACTGTTAATCAGATAAACGCATGGGAAGCTAGTTTTAATAATAATGCGGAGTAGCGGGGAAGGAACTGCCATTATATGGGTTGGGGCTCGGCAGGCATTTATGCTTTATTCCTCCCTTGAAACATCCTGCTACTCTATTGTTTTTTACTTTCATTTTTACTTAGCCGGCCGGCTCTTTCTCATGTACTACTTTACAAAAATATAATAAAGATTTCACTTTGAATTTTTTAAATGTATGTGCGTGTTTTATGTGTATATACTTTCTCAAATATAAATTTTGTGTTTGCTTATCAATGAAAAATAATCTGGCTTGTAATAAAACAAACAAACTTTTTTAAAAAAGAGAATAATATGATGCTGGGAGTCGCATGAAATGGCCTAGGATCCGCGTACACCCTCCCTCTTTGATAGCATCATACTTCTCTAGCATTTTTTCACTTCTCTGAAAAATTAATAAAGTTTGCCCGATCGGCTTATTCCAGATTTGCTCTATTTTTTATCCGTGTACATGTGGAACAGATGATGTGTAACCCGAATTGGAAATAATCACTTAACGTCAATATTAACACCAAAAATAATTGCATTTTCTTCAATCTCCGAACATTTAATCAGGTGGGCTTTGTAGCTATTATTTTTTTTTAATAGAAAATATTTTCTGTTAAACAAGAAGAAAGCGTCTGCGACAGAGGGAAACTGTCGGAAGCCAGTAATGGCGAGTCATCATCTAGTGGGTGGCCGGCTGACTTTATTGCACAGAAATTATTGGGTTGTTAGCGACATAAGGCGTCTGCGACAGAGGGAAACTGTCGGAAGCCAGTAATGGCGAGTCATCATCTAGTGGGTGGCCGGCCTTATTTGAAGAACAACTTATTTTAATGTTCACCTCCTTTACTTTGGTCAGCAAGATATTTATCCTTTTTTCCTGTTTTTTAAGCTAACAATGGGAAAAAGGAAATCCTCTCATGCTATTATAACTCTGCAAGAGCGTCACGTTAACTGGATGATAACTTACCTCGATCCAACTCCGCTTGCGTTTTTTCAATATATATTCCCAACACATCGTGTTCGAGCAACAGAAAAATATCAGAAAACACTTGATCTGGCTTTGAATGAAACCAATGATCAAGAAGTGCTTAATAAGCTAAGAAGAATGAAAAGAGCAGTGGATATACGTAATTGAATAGGATTCTTATGTCGTATTGTAAATAAACTTCTAATTTTGTTCATTTTTAATAGGAAGCAAGGATTTTATTTGACTGGGAAGCCTGGATGCAACAAAAAACAGCGGTATGTCAAGTTGCTGACTTTTAGACAGTTTGATTTGTTGCTGACAAAATTATTATATAGATTCTAGTTCGCCGTTCTGTACGTAATACGAATATTAATATTCACGAAGAAATAAACACGTTTGCGCAAAATAAGGTAAAGTTATATCCTTCAAAAAGCAATAAAGGACTTGCAATAAGTACGCTTAAAAAGAGTTGGAAAAATTCTACAGGAACCATCAGCAAAACGAGCCAGAATTGATAAGGTGAAGGTTTTGATTGGTTTTATTGTTAAAACAAATTCAAGCTTGGTCACTAACAAAATAAAACCGATTGCCCATTGCAATTTGGATAGGATCAGGAAGCCGAAAATTCATCTGACAATGAGACTGAAGAAGATGATTATCGGTCCGATGATGATGATCAGTCCGATAATGATCACCAAGATGATGACGGAGTCGAAAAAAGGTACCGTAACTGTACTGCTTACACTGGCAATTAAGGAGCAATAATTCTTACTGTTGTTGAAATAGGATGGTCAGTGAGGATGATGAACTAGAAGTGTATGCCAAAGAGACCATTCGGGACGATGGAACGAAATGGATTGTATGCGGAACAGATGTACGTGACGCATTAACAAAATGGAAACAAGAAAAAGCCCGGCCACGCACTGAGTAAGCATTTTTTGTAAATACGTGTGTTTTAATATGTGATAAATCTGGTGTACTGATACTGGAAAATTTTAGTCTAGCATTCTATGATATTATAGACATGACGCCAGGTTCGAATAGTGATTTTGTACGATTGCTACCTAATAATGCCAGTGCGTGAAATAAGAAAGTCAAAATTATTGCCAACACCTGTTATGGATAATGAAAAAGGCGAACAATGTGCAAAAAGAGAGAAAGAAGAGCCTGATGAACAAAGATTTCCGGGACTAGAAGGAGATAAAGTGGATGGAGCGAAAGACTATATCATTAATTTTATTAAGGTATCATTAGTGCCTAAAGATGCTCAGTCGGTCTTTTCGGTCTTTTTTATTCTGGCCGGTCTTTGGGAAAGTATTTGCATCCTGAAATTTTGTAGCATAGTGGGATATGCCAAAGACCGCTAAGTGGCAAAATTTGATCTTGGTCTTACCGTTCCTAAGATCTTTATTGGTAAAAATCATAAAAGACCGGTAAAAATGACATTTTATTCCTTAGATGCTTTATTGCTCTGAAACGGTTGATTAGATCAAGACCAAAATTTGCTGTGTATTAATCCTTAATCTGTTCTACAATTCAGCAAATTTTTAAGGCGCAGTCACTGTTACTTTTCCAAATATTCCAAAGACCGTTCAGGACCGAGTGAGACCGGCGGGACCGTGAGAGCATCTTTATTAGTGCCACAGACCCATATCACAGATTATATACTTTTTGTGGTTAACATGATCTAAAATCTAATTTTTCGCTTTTTTCCGAAATTTTTTAATTAATGCCTTACAATATAGGAAAGAAAATTTCGTGAGTATGTGGATAAGAGCTATATGAAAACAAGAACTGACAATACTACGAAATTTATCTGGGATTATATGAATCTTCTGTAAGAATAATTTTGATAGATGTTTCTCTGGCCTTCTTATGTCTTACAACTAAGTCCTTTTTTCTTAGAGTGGAATCATTTGAAAGAGACAACGATCTTGCAGATTATAATTTATCCGAGCTAGGGTATCGAGAAATCTTCCTCACACCTCTAATACGTAGCCTATTTCGCGGAATGCACCGTGAAATGAATATTTTTTTGTGAGTATTTGAATAGCATGTGATACGATCTTATGATCCCTCATTTCTTATAATGTATGTTTATCTAGTGGTGAAAAGTGTCTGTTCGCTTCGTAATTTGGAAAAAAACGATGAGGAAAATCGTAGTTCTGGCCGAAAAATAGACATCATCTGGTCTATGAAACCAACCGACCTTGAGTTTTCCATAAGTGAAGTTAGCGGTCCACCGAATCAGCACAATCATACCCACTTTTTTAATGATAAACTAAAGATTGCCAAAATGTTGAAGGTTATCTTTAATAGGATCGTAAGAAAATACGGTGGTGTGGGTATGAATTTGGGTTTATTAAAATTGTATGGTTTACATGTTTATTGTAAGTATTTCCAATTCTGAAAATAGTTTATATTTTATGAGATTAAAATTCTCCAACTTCATACAGGTAATGAAATAATAGTATATGAAATGTCAATACCATTCCGTGGATTATACGTTTTTTGTGAAGTTTTACGATCAAAACTGCCAACAAATGGGGTTGAAGTGGGATTAATGTTACGATCAGTACCGGCATTACTCAAATTCAAGGTTTTGTTTTCATTCTAAATTAACCGCATTCCATTAGTTTCTCGCATTCATCTCACGAAACTTTTTATTATGTAAATTACCAGAAGTTACTTGAGAAGAGTTTAACTGATCTTAAAGATTATATTCAAGATGCGTGTACTCATACACCGGATGATGATGGAAACGCAGGCCTATTTATTACACGTACTGATTTGACGCCTACAACAAATAGAACACGATCGGGCAAGTAATGATCTTGACATCATGTATAATTTACTTCACTTTCACAACGAGAAGCAGAGGTTGGATTTATAAAAGGATGCATTGCAAAAAAGAAAATAATACTGTACTATATATTACTTTATACTTCTTTAGTGCATTTTAATATCATAATAAAGTTTTACTCGTATCATATGACTGAAAATTTTCTTGACGCGTTAAAAACTTCCTGAACTGTACGTGATTATAGAGATTAAATATTGTTTCTACGTGTAAATTAATAAAAAAATATTAGCTGAAAGTCCATTTCACTAAACATTTTTTAAGTGTGGATTGAGGCGTGTATCTTGGAAAATTTCAGCGTCGGGCCTTCGCTCAAAATAAAAATTCTTTGTGATCGGCGTTCCGTTGCGTCTGCTCTCCCGTATATCGCAAAAAAACCGTTCACTCGGGGAACGATCAGCCGAAATAACCTACATATTTTTCTTGTAATAATCGGAATCACGTCAACATATAAGCGGATGTGATACAGCAATGCATCGGCATAGTTAATTAATTCGCTTAAACTTTACAAATTCTAGCGCAGTAGGATTTGCTACTATATCTACACCCAAGAAGGCGACGAAGAAGCCAGTTATAAGAGAAGATTCGCCCATTTTGAAAAAGCTTATCAAGGAATTGTCCGCTCCAATTCCACAGCAAAGCTCTTCCGGTAGTAAGTACTATTTCCTTGCAGATGTTCCCCGATATGGATATTGACTCGGTTAATTTTCGTGAATTAAATGACAGGATCATCAAAGCCGAAGATGATAATAAAAGACCGTTCTAGAACTGACCCATAGCTATTACTATTTTGGGAAAGGGTATAGGTTATGGTTCGACCATTATAAAAAAACATATACAGTCAGACCCCTATATAATCACCGAGTTGGTTTCATTAAATTTAGTGATTGTATAGAGGTGTGACTATATAATAAAACCTTTATACAATCACCTCTATATCATAAATCATGTGAAGTGACTATATAGAGGTTAATAGTTTAATTAGATAGTATAACATATTAAAATAAAGCATATAAAATTTGATTTTATTAAGAATTTGAAAAATTTATACAATTATCCATTTCTCTAATATCTAATTGCTAAAAAAATCAGTTATTGAAGTTTGCTTTCTAGCTTGCAATTCAAGTTGTCATACTATATTTAGATATTTTTTAAAAATATCTAAATCTTCTGTTTTAAATTCATTTGTTGTTTGTTGTTCAAAAAAAGTTATCCAATTCTGTAAAGATTTAATTGCATCAACGAAAGATACTAGTACTGGTTCATTGAAATCCTCTTCAGAATCATTATTTTCATCATCATTTACCTCCTCTTGAACCAATCTTATGATCTTATCATCATTTAAGAGATCCTTAGTTGGAATTTCTTCTTCTAAATCTTGAAAGAAATCATCAATTGCATTTTTTAATGGAGAAGCATGAGGGTCATCGAATTCATCAATCATTTGATTGATTCTTTCTGTTTCCAAGTCCATTGTCTTTTGATGAGCCTGTATTGCATTATCTATATCTTCATTAGCTGAAGAAGGCAATATTCCAGTTTTATTCTAATAATTACGAATTGTTTCTTCAGTTACATCATGCCACGCATTTGCCAAGTACTCAATAGCTTCTTTGATATCAATTTTCTCTTTATTGATATCTTTACCTTCTTCAAAAAGTTGCAACATATAATGACAATAATATCGTTTATAGTGACTTTTAAAATTTGCAATAATCCTGACATCTAAAGGTTGAAGGTGGCTTGTAGTATTTGGTGGCAAAAAGGCTACTTCAACATGTATAAGTTGAAGTTAATGAGTATCCGGTAGAGTACTCCTTGATCTTGAAACTCGATTTCCTATAGAAGTATTAATTCAGTAAGTTTCTGTAGTTTATTTTTAAATTTTTTAAAAAAAAATCAAATTTAACTTACTGCGTCCTCTTGAAGTAGAACCCAAAGTAGAGCTCAAAATAGAACCCGAATCTTGAGTAGAACCCAAACCTGAAGTAGAACCTGAGCCTGAAATATTATCATCATCTTGCAAACGGTAATTTGGATCGAAATGTGATAGGACATTATCAATTAAGAGCAAAATCTTTTTATTTTGTGCTCTAAAATGCCTATTCATATCAAGAAGTATTTCTCCAAATAACCTTGAATTCATTCATGCTTTAGGATTTCCACGGTAGTGAACTGGAAGACGGTCTAAATTAACACATAAGAGAAATCTTGAGCGCTTTGATTTACCAATCACCCATGGTTTGAGTTTGTCAGTTCCTGTAGCATTTGCACTTAAAAGAATAGTAATTCACATTTTGTTCTTTTTTTGACTAAGAACTGGTTTAGTGAAAAGTGTCTGATTCAGAGATATTCTATAATAAAGACCCGTTTCATCAATATTATATATTTAGTCTAGAGAATATTGGTTTAATAGTTAACGGAGCTTAATTCTCTCTTCTGAAAGAGATACTATCGACGCACTTTCTGTTTCTCTATGCATGCGATGCCAATGAATATTATTCCTTTTTTTAAATCTATCTAACCAACCGTTGGAAAAAACCAACTTATCTTCTTGTATATTAAATGTATTGGCAAAAAATTTTGACTTTTTCTTTATCAATAGATCCGTTAAAATGACACCACCCGCCATTACATTTTCAACCCACAAATTCATAGCATTGTCAAGTATTAGAAATTTGACTCCTCTATGTCTAAAGATTTCTTTGAAACTTTTGATTTCTATTGCAGCACTCCAATTTTCACTATTTGTTAATATCTTTGTTATAGTACTACAGTCGATATTTAAAGTCA